TATATACTGATTAGCACTTAAGTGAATGTTAACAGAGAGACAGAGAAAGAAGAGACATTCAGGATTCTGAGAAGAAAGGTTAGAGAGGTAGCAGGGTAAGAATTTTTATTTCTTTTCTTTTTTATATGAGCTGCTACTGAGTCTTGAACTCAGGGCCTGTGCACTGTCCCTTAGCTGTTTTGTTCAAGGCTGATGTTGTACTATTTGAGTCACAGCTCTTCTTTTGCCATTTTGCTGGCTAATTGGTCTTTACTGCCATGGCTGACTTTGAACCTTCATTCTTAGATCTTAGCCTCTGGCGTAGCTTAGGTGTGAGCCATAGGCGCTTAGGAACAAAGTAGGATTTTAAATTTATAAGAAAACCTAGGAAGTGGAAGATTTTTAGGAGATTATGGAAATTAACAAATACAGTGGGAGGGTCAGCTAATATTAAAAACTTGCCTGCTTTTTTCTTTTAATTAATTAATTCATTTGTTTATTCATTTGGTAGTGCTAGGATTTAAATTTAGGTTTTTGCACTTGGTAAGCAGTTATACTCTACCTCTGGACCATAACTCCAGCCACTTTTTTGCATTGGTTATTTTTAGATCTGGTCTCACTTTTTGCCTGGGTGTGTGCATAGACCACAGTCTACCTATTTTATGCTTCATGTGGTAGCTAGGATGACAGGTGCACACTGTCACACCCAGCTTCTTCCATTTAGATAGCCTTACAAACTCCCTTCCCTCTCCCTCCCAGGCTACCCTACAACCACAGTCCTCTAATCTCAGCATCCTACATCGTGGCAAAACAGATTTACGCCAGCTGCTGAGGTAGTATTGGTTGATAAGGGCATGAACAACTAGCACCCAGGCTCTATTTTCTTTTCTTTTTCTCCTGTCCTTCTCTTTCCACTCCTGTTTCTCTTTTTCCCTTCCCCTTCCCCTTCTTTCTTTGTTTCATTATATAGCTTGAACTGGCCTTGAACTCAAGATCCTCCTGCTTCAGCTTCCTGAGTACTAGGATTGTAGGCCTGTGCCACCCTGCCCTGCTGATTGTTGTTCCTGTCCCCACCCCATCCTTGAGTTTCTTTTGCTCAAGGCTAGTGTTCTACCACTTGAGGCACAGCTCAACTTCCAGCCTTTTTTGGGGGTAGTTTATTGGAGATAAGAGTCTTATGGACTTTACTGCTTGGGCTGATTTTGAACCATGCTCATCAGATCTCAGGCTCCTGAGTAGGATTACAGGTGTGAACCACCAATACCTGGCTCTGGCTCTTTCTTCCTTTTAAACAATTTTTTTAAAATGCTTTCTGATTGGTGTGGGGCTTGAACTCAAGTCCTGGGCGCTGTCCCTGACCTCTTTTGTTCAAGGCTAGTGCACCACTTCTGGTTTCTCCGGTGGTTAATTGGAGATAAGCATTTTATGGACTTTCTTGCCTGGGGTGGCTTTGAACCATGATCTCAGTCTTCTGAGTAGCTAGGATTACAGGTGTGAGCCACCAGTGCCCAGCTTAAACAATTTTTAATGGGTTTTATTATTCTATTTTCACTTACTGTGTGATAAAGTAGTTAAAAATTTAAAAACTATATTGCGGTCTTGTAGTATCATGTGTCCTTTGAATGAATTAGTAGACTAAAGCCATATTAAATTTGGGTTAAAGTTATGATTAGAAGTAAAGATTTTATTTTATTGGACATTCAGATGGTTTATCCTTCCTTTCCTTGATGCTGTTTGCTTGAAAATCATGGTCATTTGCATAGAGACCTTGTGAACCTTTAGTTTAGTTCCATTTTTTGAGATGTTACCAATTAGCAGAAAATTAGTAGAACTGAAGCTTTTACTATTTTGAACCAAAAGGGTTCAAACTTTTATTAAAGTTGTGAAACTGTTTTCCCAGTGACTCTGTTGATATTCTTAAGGGTAAATGTCAAATCTGAGCAATAGGCAAAGATTCTGTTACTTCCTTTTAAAAAATTACTTTCTTAGATTTCTGTTTTCTTTAGCTCCTTTTATTCAAAAGTACATATGGGTCTGGACTTGCTATGAAAAGTGAAATCACTGAGGTATGCTGCCTATCTCTCCCTCACCCTTAGTGATGTCACATGACTTAGTGTCTCCTGTGGAGCTGGGTTCTTTACATCAGAAAGGAGAGAAGGCAAGAGCCTGGGTCCTGCGTGCCATCTTGTTTGCAGGAATCTTGGAATTTCTGTTTATTTTTCTCTACATACAGAAATGTGAGCATTTGGTTCTTTTGAAAACCCCTCGCACAACTAAGAATGTAACATAGCCCATGGGGGAACAAAGGGGTGATCCAGCTCTTTCAGAGTCGCCAACCTCTCACTAGACTCTAGGCTAAGACAGTCCGAGAGAGCTGGGTTGCCAGAAAGGACCAGTGAGAATGTGGCTGCTTGTTTCCTGAGCAGCATGCAGCCTACACCGGCTGCCACTCTGTTGCTGTTGAGTCATTCCCACAGTGCTATATAGAGCTCTTCTTTTAAACATGATGTTCTTGGAACAAGAAAGGGAAGATTTCTCTTCCACAGACTCTCCTCTACTCCGGATCGGCACTGCCCTTTCTTCTCCATGAGCATTGCCCTCGCTCTTTCTGAGGCTGTTCTCTTTGTAGGTCTTCAACTCTTTTTTTTTTTTAAATTGTAAAAGTGATGAACAGCAGGGTTACAGTTATAATGAAGCATATCAAAATGAACTCCAAGAATTGAAAACAAAGTCTTTCATTTTGTATTGTTTGCAGTTATTTCTATTATTTTCTTTTAGTTTTCTGTAACCTTTGTCTCGTATATAAGTTTATCTGGGGCTGGGAATGTGGCTTAGTGGTAGAGTGCTTGCCTACCATGTATGAAACCCAGGGTTTGATTCCTCAGTACCATATAAACAGAAAAAGCCAGAGGTGGCACTGTGGCTCAATGGTAGAGTGCTAGCCTTGAGCAAAAGAAGCTCAGGGACAGTGCCCAGGCTCTGAGTTCAAGCCCCAGGACTGGCAAAAAACAAAACAAAACAAAAAAAGTTTATTTGATCTGGGGAAGGGAAAAGAGAGTCACAGAAACTGCAGGTCAAAAGATGAACTAATGAAACAAAGATACTCCTTTTGTTCATCATTTGTTTGACTACATAAGAATTAAGGCTTTCGCTAGGCTGAGGCTGCAGCTGTAGGCTTTGGTGTGGACTGCCACTTCACTAGAAAGATGGATAAGTTCTAAATAAACAGTCCAAGGGTGGGTTTCTAGTTTCCAACTATTCACTAAAAGTTCACCAAATAAGCAAAAGGCATCCAAATACTATAAATATCAGTTCATAAAAAGTACTGCAAAGAGAACAAATAAGCTTCTTATTTTGGGTAAATAAAAAATTTGCTGTATATATAATTTAAAAGGATTGTAAAGTTTTTTTTTATTGTTGTTGTTGGTTGTGGGCTTGAACTTAGGGCCTGGGTGCTGTCCCTGAGCTTTTTTCACTCAAGGCTAGCACTCTACCACTTTGAGCCACAGCACTACTTCTGGGTTTCTAGTGATTAATTGGAGATAAGAATCTCACGGGACTTTCCTGCCCAGGCTGGCTTTGAACCATGATTCTCAGCTCTCAGCTTCCTGAGTAGCTAGAAGCCACCAGTTCCTGGCTAAAATTTCTGTTTTCAATGGAAGGTGAACTACATGTATTCATTCCTATTCAAAAGGCCTTATTGGTGCTAATGGTTTTCTTCATCAGGAAATGGAAATTTCCTTCTTTTCTTTGTTTTTCCATCTAATTTATCTTTGTGGTAGTACTGAAGGTTGAATGTGATGCCTTGTGCTTTCTAGGCAAGTGCTCTACTACTTAAGCCACACCTCAGACCTCCTTTTTTGCCTTATTTATTTTTGAGGATAGGGTCTTGCAGTTATGACTGCACTGGTCTGGACCATGATCCTATTTATGCTTTTCCTATAGCTGGGATGACAGGCATGTGTTACCTTGCCTAGCTATTATTTGAGGTAGGGGTCTCACTAAGTTTTTGCCCTCACTGGCCTTGAACTATAATCCTCCTGAGTAAATAGGATTACAGATGTGAGCCCAACTGAAAAGGAAATTATTACATACTGAAACTGTCTCCTTCTGTTACACATCAGCCTGACATAAAGCATTTTAAGACTGCCACCAGGGCTGGGAAGGTGGCTCAGTGGTAGAGTGCTTGCCTTGTATGCATAAGGCCCTGAGTTTGATTCCTCAGTACCACATAAGCAGAAAAAGCTGGAAGTGGTACTGTGGTTCAAGTGGTAGAGTGCTAACCTTGAGCTAAGAGCTGAGGGACAGTGCCCAAGCCCAGAGTTCAGGCCCCATGACGAACCAAAAAAACAAACAAACAAAAAAAAACACCAAAAACCCTGCCAGCATCAATTTACCATCTATCTGTAGATAGCTTGTGCCACATGGGCACAGATAAAGAATGCTTTTAGGGGACTGGCAGATTTGAAGGACAGATTACATAGTCCTGGCTTTTGGTGACTTTTAAAACAGTTTTAATTGAAATGGGGGTGGAGAAAAATAGTTGAGCTTTTGTAGTTAAATATTCAGCTTCCTTAGCCTGTTATCTACAAATATCACAGACTAAAAGGCTGCTAGAATTCTTTTTCAGAAAATTTACTTAGCTTACAGTTATTTATTTGTGTATATATATGTATATATATGTCTATCTATATCCTATTCCTACCTCTCTGTGACTGTTTTTTTTCCCATGAGATAGTTGCTTTCATTGTGCTATCTTAGACTTTCTTTTCTTTTCGTTCTTTTTTTTTTTTGTCTTAGACTTTCATCATTTGTCTTAGACTACATTAGCAGCCAAGTCCTTTCTCGTATGGTTTTGAACAAAATATGATCTTAAGAGAGAGGGAAGCACTAGATCTGTTTTCTGAAAGTCCAGCATATCTTCCCTCCCCTAGAGATGAGGGGTGGAGCTCACACACAGCTCTAACCACATATTTGTGTCTTCACTGAAGCACTTGGTTTCCTGTCAGCAGTCACTCAACTTAGGCCATCTTGACTTTCCTGAAGCGTGGTGGCTGGGTGTCTGTCATAAAGGGAGCAAGTTCTCACTGTCTGGTTTGAGCTCAGGCATGAGACTGGATTTGTGAAAGCCTGCGTAGACTCCGAAGATGTCTTTTTTCCTGTGACTTTGACTTTCTTCATTGTCTTTGTGGGCTGTTGTTTCTAAGAAGACATTGTCATGACTCTGTTGGAACCTGAGATGCTAATGATGGCTGTACAGTCAGGTAACTTCTTTTATTTCTTCTAAATCTTATTTGCCACAGGCTTCTTAAAATAGGTTGAATAAATATATAAGTGCTAGGATTGGACAGAGATGGAAGAAAGATAAAATAAATTACCTAATAAAAGTACTGCATTTTCATGCTTTTATTTTTTTCTATATTTGCAAATTATGGTTATTAAGTCTTAGCATCAAATTAAATGCTAACCGATCTTCAGACTCTTGAGTAAGCAGACCTATTTGAGGAAATAAAACTATTTGTCTTCTTGAGTTATTTTGTTATTATTTGTGACAGTGCTTTTAGCGAAAGCCTATTAAATTGCTTTTGCATACCATCAGAAAGCCTGTTTATCTGTGTAGATTAATCACTATACTATTTTATGCCTTTGTGAAAGTATCTTCTATGTTTTTTCTTAGCCGTTCTCTCTGTCTTGTATAACTTTCACAAACCATCTTTTGTATTGGATCTGTGAAAATGTTCTAAATAACACATTTAATGGTTTCTTTTACTTTTGGCATTTTTAAGCATATAAGTCAGATATCCAAAAATAAAGAATGTTCCCTTTATTATTTTTAGATTTCTACCAAAATGTAATCTGTAGTGTTTTCCTGTTTCTGAGCATATCTTGAGAGATTCATACAAGTGGTATTTGTGGACTTCTTCCCCATCTACTGGCCTCACTCAATGGAGAACAAGACTTCTTGGTTCTGGCAGATACTGTCTCTGGCAGCCGTGGTCTTGCTGTTCTCCTTGGGGAGCTCTTAGGTAGTGTGTTGTCAGCCTTAGATATCCATCTGTTGAGACAGGATCAGATGCTGTCAGGTTAAGCCTTTATGGACAAGAAAGAGGCAGAAAAGAAGATGAAATGCTTCTATTTTTTTCTTTTCTGGTTATAAGTATGACCATAATTAGTCATTTATTAGTTCAATTTTTCTGTTCATATATGCTATGTGCTTCAGGTTGTCTTTCGTTTTCCTCCCACATATCTGTAGTGTTCTGATAAACAAGATAATATGCTTATCTGAATGTTTCCCATCTGTCTTTGATGAAATAGCTCCCTATTAAACTGACTTGAATTTTTTTTTTCCTCTCTGTATTCCAGTTCTCTCTTTCTGTGTGGGCAAGCGCATATTTTATCTTTAGGGATAGACTTTAGCACTTGAATTTTTCTCTAACTTCTTTGATCACCTTGTTACTCACAGATACTTCAGCCCAGTAACTTTTAATAGTCTTAAGTTAAAAGATTATTTTCCTTAAAGGTGCTCAGTGTTTCTGGTTTTAACCTGGAAAAGGGATGTGCTTAATACTTTCTTGTCTCAGAGCAGTATTTCCTACAACATATGTTAAGCAGAGCTAGTCACCCATCTGTTGGACCAACTACTTCATAAAATTTTCAAAGGACAATAGTATGTAAGACAAGAATGGATGACATTGTCAAGGGTGTTGGATACAGGTAGAACCAAAAGCTTACCAAGAAGGCAATGTATTTAGACATATTTCTTTTGCTTATATTCATAAAAGCAGAGATTCTGGGTTCAGGAAGGAATAATAGCAAACTGTCTTGCCCATATCCTGTTGTTCCTAAATGTTCAAGCAATTTACTAATATATTGGTTTTGTGATACTGTTATCATTTTGTTCTGAAGTGATATGGGTATGAATTGGATAATAACTAGTGTGGCAGCCATTTATAACATACTGTAGTCATGATAGGAAATGACAAAGCATCTATAATAAAACCTCAGTAAACCAAGACTATATGATTCTTGTGAAATGATTTTTAGGACCCACAGATTTTCTAACAGTAGAATATCTATGTCTTCATGATTATATACTTTATAGATGAAACTACTGTTTCTTATTTTAAAGAAACTAAACCCCTTAAAGCAGAATCAAACTTTAAGATACTGAATGTGTAACAAAGTTCCAGGGTACATCATGTACTTATGAATAGTTTTTACTTGGTATTTGGAGCTTGGAGATTTTTGGCAAGACTTACTAGTATATCTTTAAAGATTTCCTCCTCGTTACTGCTGGTGGTCTTTATCTGATATGTTGGACCCAGTTTGGTGCTGCCTTCTGGGAACCCTCTTAGTTGAGTCACCCTTCTTCCTCTTTCCCACAGTGGTACCGTCTTCACAGTATACACTAATTACCCTTTTTGTTTGTTTTTATTTTTATTTTGGGGGAGTGCAGTATGGAGTTTGAACTCAGAGCCTCACTTGCTAGGCAGATGCTATACCAGTGAGTCTCCAGCCTCACTTGTTAGGCAGCCTTGTTGTTCTGGTTATTCTCAAGGTAAGATCTTTCTTCTTGCTCTGGTACAGTCTACCCATGTGAGGCTTCCCATCATAAGTGGGATGATGAGCATACATCACTGTACTTAGTTCACAGTTGTTGAGAGGGGTCATATAAATTTTTCTGCATGTGCTGGATTCAAACTGTGAGTATCCAAATCTCATATGAGCTAGTGGCTTTGGTTTTGTGAGTCAGGACTTTGCTGTGTAGCCCAGGTTGGCCTCAAACTCATGATCTTCTTCCTCAGTCTCCTGAGTATTGGGATTCTAGGCTTATACTGTAATGTCTAGCAGCTAATGATCATTTCTGCATGTCTTCTTTTTTTTTTGTCGGTCGTGGGGCTTGAACTCTGGGCCTGGGCGCTGTCCCTCAGCTCTTCAGCTCAAGGCGAGCGCTCTACCACTTGAGCTACAGCGCCACTTCCGGTTTTTCTGGTGGTTTATTGGAGATAGGAGTCTCATGGTCTCTTCTGCTTGGGCTGGCTTTGAACCACGATCCTCAGATCTCAGCCTCCTGAGTAGCTAGGATTACAGGCGTGAGCCACCAGCGCCCGGCTCTGCATGTCTTCTTTTTTTTTTTTTTTTTTTTTGGGGTCCGGTCGTGGGGCCTGAACTCTGGGCCTGGGTGCTGTCCCTCAGCTCTTCAGCTCAAGGCTAGCACTCTACCACTTGAGCCACAGCGCCACTTCCGGCTTTTTTCTTTTTGCTTATGTGGTGCTGAGGAATCGAACCCAGGGCCTCGAGCATGCAAGGCAAGTGCTCTACCACTGAGCCACCTTCCCAGCCCTGCATGTCTTCTTTAGAAATTAGATTATTAGCTTTTTGAGGATGATATATTTATCTGTTTCTTGAGTCCTGATATTTGTACATGGGAGAGACTTGACATTTTTTGAAAGAATGATGAAATTTGGTTTGGCATACTTCCCCTAATAAATAGGTATAAAGTCTTTTTTATTTGTTTTGGTGCTGGTCCTGAGTCTTGAACTCAGGGCCTGCCAGCTGTCCCTGAGCTTTTTATTTGCTTAGGGCTAGCACGCTACCATTTGAGCCACAGCTCCACTTCTGGTGCTTAATTGGAGGTAAAACTTTCATGGACTTTGCTGCCCATGATCCTCAGATCTCAACCTCCTGAATAGCTAGGATTACAGGTGTGAGACATTGGAACCCAGCAGTATGAAGTCTTTAAATCAAGATTTTATCCAAATATTTTGAGATCTGTTCTTACATTAAGGAATGAATTCCAAGCCAAGCATTATGGCTCATGTCTGTAATCCTAGCTACTTGGGAGGCTGATATTTTAAGAATTATTATTCCAATCGAGTAAATGCATGAAGATTCATTAGACTCCCTTCCCAGCTAAGAACTGGGCACAATGGCATGCACCTGTTATCTTAGCTGTGGTGGGAAACTTCAAATAGGCAGATTACAAGCATGTACCAGTTAGGAACCAAGTGTGCGCGCGCACGTGCGCGCGCGCGCGCACACACACACACACACACACAGAGCAATAGGAAGGTCAGCAGTAGAGTGCCCACATAGCAAGAATATGAAGTTCCAAGTTTAAACCCCAGTATATGAGAGAGAAAGATCTTATAACCACCAACTTATATTTTAGCCAATTTGGCCCAAATTGGTGGTTTTGTAAACATGGCTTTCAAAGTGCAATTTCTTTAGTATCTCTCTGCAGTGTGGCTGGTGGGATAAGTTATATTTCTAGACAAATGTAAGTGTTCTCTGATCAAGCCACAGTTGTAGCCTCTATCACCATTATGAGAATTTATCTAAATTGTCATGGTTAGAAAATGAAAGACTTGAGATGGATGTTATAGGTGTGTGTGTGTGTGTGTGTAAAGCTAAAATGAAAGGAATATTGGGGCACAACATTAACTGGTATCTTTTGGCATGAAGACTACTAGGGGTCAGCTCTTTTTTTTTTTTCTTTTTGGTCGGTCATGGGGCTTGAACTCTGGGCTTGGGAGCTGTCCCTCAGCTCTTCAGCTCAAGGTGAGTGCTCTGCTGTTTGAGCCACAGCACCACTTCCGGTTTTCTAGTGGTTTATTGGAGATAAGAGTCTCACGGACTTTCCTTGCCTGGGCTGGCTTTGAACCATGATCCTCAGATCTCAACCTCCTCAGTAGCTAGGATTCCAAGTGTGAGCCTGGCTTAGGGGTCTGCTCTTGACAGCTAGCATGTGTAGCTCTGGCCAGGCAGGCCCTGTACCTGTGTCTAGACAGTGCCAGCACCTTAACTCATACCTTCACAGCAGTGGCCTAGACTTTACCTGTAGAGAAAAGGATTGAGACAGTTCCCTAGGTGCGCTTTGGTCCCATGACACACACCTGACCTTGATGAGGCAGTGTTATGGAGGCAGTTTGTTTTTTTTCTGTCACGTGTATGCCTGTAATAATGTACTCCCACACCCCCACACTTATCTAGGTGTGGGTTATCTCTGGAAGGATCATAAGAAACTGGTTGCCGTGGCTGCTTCAAGGAAGAGGGATAGAGGACTGGAGGTAGAAAAAGCTTTTTGTTTCACCAAACAATGTGTTAATTATTGTTTTTATGGGAATATTCCATAAATGCAAAGAGAATATACACCAATAGGTTAGATAGTTAAAATCTGACACAAACCCATACTTTCTACTGCTCAACCTACAAAGTAGAACATATGTTACACACTGAAGTCCTCTAAATCTTCTCAATTTGT